CCCACAGGTTGGGCATGGAGGAGCATCCGTACTCCAGCCGACTGAAGAAGATTGGAGAGCTTCTAGAGCAGGACTCGGTGACCAGAGAGGAGGTGGTGTCTGAGCTGGGTGGGTAGTCCCCACACCCACACCTTCATCCTTAGGGACAGGCTTGGGCTCAGGATGGGAGGGGAGCAAGGAGTCAGACCTGCCATCACATTTTGCCCGGGGCTGCTGACAGCAGAGCCAGCTCTGCAGGGTGCTTGACAGGTTTTGAGTGAGTTTAGTGCCTTCTTGCTCTGGGGCTGCAGCTCCTCCGTCCTCACAGATAAAGATCCCCAGCAGTTCTCGCAGCCGCTGCTCACAGCCATTGGTGAGTTAATAGCACATTCACTGTGTTCTGGGCACTGTGCAGAGTGCTCTGTTTGGTCTCCTTTCACCCTCACGCGAGCCCTGTGAGAGTTCCCAACCTGATTCACTCTGTGGGAATCAAACCCGAGGTGCAGTAACCTTGGTCATTAGGGAACTTTCCCAGTCACCCAGCCAGGGGTGGGGAGGAGGACTTGAGCCCAGGTAGTCTACCTGTAGAGCCTGTGACCTTAGTCACAGCCCAGCTTGTAGCTGAGAGTGTTGACTGTGGCAAGTGGCAGGAAACCTAGGGACATGTGGGGAGCGGGGGTGTCAAATCCCCATCATCTGGTGTCCCCACAGGGAACGGCATTGCCGCCTTTGAATCTGTGCCCACTGCCATCTACTGCTTCCTGCGCTGCATGGAGCCCGACCCCGAGATCCCCTCTACCTTCAATAGCCTCCAAAGGACTCTCATCTATTCCATCTCACTGGGTGGGGACACAGACACCATTGCCACCATGGCTGGGGCCATTGCTGGCGCCTACTATGGGATGGAACAGGTGACAGAAAGCTGGCAGCAGAGCTGTGAGGGCTATGAGGAGACAGACATCCTGGCCCAGAGCCTGCACCAGGTCTTCCAGAAGAGTCTGTGAGGGCCCAGCTGCTGGGGCCCCGCCATGTCCAGTGGGACCAGTGACAGCTCAGGCTGGAAACCCTGCGCTTCTTTGGGCTCTGCCCCCTGCCTCGGTCTTCCTGCAGCCTGGGCACAGGCACCGCGGGGCCGGAGTCACGGGGGAGGTCACTGGAACGGAGTGAGGGACTGGGGCCTCCCCGTGCTGGGTTTCTGGCTTGCTGCAGAGCCTTGGGCTCCCCTGGCTCCTCAGACACGAGGAAGCAGGGCAGGTTTATTGGCGGGCACGCATGGCATTTTCCTTATTATCTAGGATGTGGGATATGGGGAGGAAATGGTCTGCAGTAGCATCCGTTCTCCACGTTGGGATTTAGTCAATTTGCCAGAAAGCCTGTCTTTGACTGGGCAGGACTGAGAGCAGCAGGTTTCCCTGGATCCAGGAGATGCAGTTGAATCTAGCTGATCTCCATACACACCTGGCCCTGGGCTGTCTCAGGCTTGTTAACAGCTTCCAGCGGAAGCCACAGAGCAATAAACAGTTTTTGGTAAATCCCACCAGTTTCCTCTGTTTCTCCTCTGCCCTGAATGCATTCTCCCCCTCCTTGACCTTTATTGTCTAGACCAGGGGTGGGCAAAACTTTTTGACTCGAGGGCCACAAGGGTTCTTAAACTGGACCGGAGGGCCGGAACAAAAGCATGGATGGAGTGTTTGTGTGAACTAATATAAATTCAAAGTAAACATCATTACATAAAAGGGTATGGTCTTTTTTTTTTTAGTTTTATTCATTTCAAACGGGCCGGATCCGGCCCGCGGGCCGTAGTTTGCCCACGGCTGCTCTAGGGCCTCTCTGGGGCTGTGCTCTCCTAAGAGCTAGGACCCCAAGGTGACGAGCGGCTGGGTTGTCAAGGCAAATTCCTGCAGTGTTGTTCACCCAGGACGGGCAGGGTAGTCATGGTTTGGTGCCATTTCCTGTTGAAGGTCGCTCAGAGTGACCCTGGCAGGGGGCAGAAACTAGACAGATTTTCTTGCTCTCAAAGCCTGGCTTCATAGTTTGCTCCAGGTAGGCCCCGGCCCAGCCAGGCCAAAAACTAGAGCCCTGGAGGAGGAAGCAGAGGGTACCTCCTATCACTGGACTGCCAGCCTGTGGGTGGGGAAGGTGCATCGTCCCAGGTGCTCTGGGTGGATTGAATGCTGTGCCTCATTCTGCCTCCTGGGCCCCAGACACAGGCCTCGCCTGTTAGGAAGTTCTGCACACTCGCCACTTCAAAGAAAGGAATTGAGAGGGAGGAGACACCTCCATCAAACATCAGGGATGTCCTCTGAGCATCCTTCCAGCCCGGGGCGGGGGGGGGGAGAGGAGCATGCCCTCTGCAGCTAGCCCGGGGTTTCAGGACTGCTGGGCGGGTCTGCTCTCAGCCAAGAGAGTGCTCTGCCAGGCTGGGCAAACCACACGGCTTTGCCGGGCAGGCATTGGTCTCAGATGTGCCATCCCGATCCCCACAACTTGGGACAGATCCCTCGCTGCCAAGCTTGGCGAGCTGTGGGACAGGTGCTCCCTGCCCAGGACAGCTCCACCGGCCCTGCTCTAAGCACTGGGCCTGGCACGAGCCCCGCCCTCAAGAGCAAAGTTTCATGATTTCATTCATAATTTGTATCAGATGTTGAAACTTGGCCCTTGGGGTCCTGAGCCAGCTGTCATGCTCCACTACCCCTGAGAGCTTGCAGGAATGTTCCAGGGAAGCTCGATCCGTCTCCCCCAGCCCCAGCCACTGCTTGCTTTGGTTTCTTAAAATGCTTCTTGGCATTTACTTGTTTGTTGCACAGCCTCCGCAGCTCAAGAGCGTGGAGCGTTTCTGCTGTGGGGGCAGAAACCATGCCGGCAGCTCCCTGAGGCAGAGCAAGCTCCCTGGGTGCCGGTGAAATCCAGCCTGAGACCCCTCTGCGCCAATGCCAGGCTCAGCACGTGCTGTTTTTACACAACAGGTTTTATTGAGGCTGTGTTGACACAGTCAATACCGTTGTTTTCCTTTTCAAAAAGAAGTCCCATTTTCTTTGATTCCCAAGTGCATTCTTTCTGAATCTTCTGTGACACAGGGCCCTTAATAGGTATGTAGAGAACTAAGCTGCTTCTACCAGGTTAGAAATGAAATTACTAATGGAAAATACTTAAACCTTAACCTTAAAAAAAGTGAGGAATCAGAATATAAAAATGCACAAGGTAATGCAGTTTTCATTGTTAAAATCTGACATCATTTATCAAAGCTAGCCAGTTAAGTAGACAGCACCTGGGACATAACACTTGGAAGCACCGGCCACCCCTTTCGAAGGCGTCAGGAGTGACTTTGAGCAGAAACTCTTGTGAAACAGCCTTTTGGGCTCCCCCGGATCCTCCTGCGAGCCCGGGTTCTCACTGGGAGCTGTGGCATTTCTGCCCGTGGGAAGCCCTCCCCAACGGTCCGATGGTGGCTGTGACCAGAAAGGGGCTGAGCAGAAGGCCCACCAGGTCCGGTTTGAGATGGCTCTCCTGGGTGTTGGGGAGTGAGAACCCCGCTGTGAGCCCCGCCAAAACCTGTTAAAGTGTCACGTGGGCAGGTTTGGTTTTCCTTTTTCCTTTTGAAAGTTAGCATGAGAGTCACATGGTCGGCTTTGTTGGAAAAAGTTGGTGGGAAGAGGACTGGTGAGGGGCCTGCGGGAGCCACAGCTCAGCGAGTCAAGTCAGCCGTCACCCTCCGTTCTCAACACGGACGTTCGGGCCCCGCCAGGCCCAGCAGTGCAACCAGGTCACGATGGCTGACCCAGGCTCACACTTGGGGGGGCGGGGGTGGGGGCTGGCTTGGGGAGGGCTGATGGAGAGGCCCCACGCCACCGGGAGAGTGGCTATCCCTGCATGGGCAAGTGTCCACCTTCCCTGGCCCAGCACGAATCCCAGCTTTACCCGCTCAGCTCGAACTAGGCGCTGTGGGGAGGGACGGGATCCTGCCTGTTTCCTGCAGGGGAGCTCTGACTGGGGAAATCGGCAGAAACATCCAGAGCCAACTCATTCCAAAGGGGCCTGTTGGCACCCCTTTTCCCAGAGCCTCAGCGTCCTGGGCCCTAATCCTGCTTAGAACAGGAAATTGGAACCAGAGGTGGGAGGAGAGGAAGCCCCCGCAGATTAACCCCTTTAGTGGACACACACATACATGTGGTTTTGATTAAGGAAAAGCAGGCGGAGTCTTCATGCCTGAGCTTGTGTGCACCTTGTTCCGAGGGCTAAACGAGAGGCTATGCTTTGGGGTCACTTGGGTTGGGAGGGTGGCAAGGATCCCTTACAATTTTGTGAGAAAATCAGCCCTCCCCCCAGGAGGCGAAAGGACTGCCTGTGCCCCTCCCTATGGACCTGGGCACCGGCCCTGGCACCGGCCCTCTCGCTGAACAGAGCCAGAGCTGGTGGGGGCAGCCCAGGAGATGGAAAGGCATGCGAAGGCTTGCCATCCTGTCCCAGCCCATGCCCCACCCCTCACAAACCACCATCTCCCATGGCTGCGGCTGGCACCGTGAGAGGGGGATGGCCCTTCCCAGGAGCCTGCAGAAGGGGCCACACCTCTACATGCCTGATGCCACAGCATCAGCCCTGGGATTGCAGTCCTGGCTGGGGGTCCGCACGGCCTCCTCCTTCCCTTACCCCTGGAGGGAAACAGACTCTTCAGGGGACCCACCATCATATGCTGGAGGTCCCAGGGAGCTGGAAGAGCCCCGGCCAATAACAGAGTGGCCGTGCCCCTTTCCTTGAGCAGGTACCATCTGGGGGCCAGCAGGAAGGGCAGGGCTTGGGAATGTGTCCCCCCGAGGGGATGGATGGGGAGCTCAGTCCCCTCAGCTCTGATGCACAGAGAAGCAGCGTTTCACCACCCAGGAGAGCCCAGGACTCGGGGGGGGGGGCAAGGCCTCCCACCGCTGGACTGTGTCCTGGGGCCCTGCCTGCAGGCCAGGCAGGGCAGGAATGGGGTCCCAACCCCGACACTGCACAGACACTGGGGGGAGAGGAGGAGCTCAGGCCAGCCTCTTCCAGAAGCCACCTCGGCCTGCACGGAGGGAGAAACCAAGTCAGCCTCCTCCGGCCGAGGCCCAGGCCGAGGCATGGCCGCCTCTGTGCCCACCTCTGTTCAGCCTTTGGTTTTTTCTTTAAATGCAGGTTCTTTGTAACTGAGAATTCTCTCTACCACTACAGAGGAGGAGGCCAGGGCAGCAGCGCCCGTGGGTTATGTGGGGCAGAGCAAGAACCCTGAAAAGGAGGAGTGGATGTACTCGGTGGAGTAGAGGCCGTTGGCCTGGTCCGAGGGCATCTGCACCCACACCTGGTCGTTGGGCCGCAGCTGGAGCACGGCGCCGCCAGAGGCCTGGTCCAGGTAGCCTTTCTTGTACTCGTCGTAGGTGTAGGTGGCGGGCACGTTGTTCTTGTACAGGGCCACCCACACATTGGTGCCCTTGACATGCACGTGGTAGGCAAAGTAGTAGACCCCACCCACGGGGCAGGTGAAGATGCCGGTAGCCGGGTTGTAGCCACTGTGGCCGTTGTAGAGAGTCCGGTCAAACTTAACAGGCATGCCGGAGGCAGGAAAGGGTGAGGTGAGCACCGCGGTGAAGGCAGGCGTGGCGTGGGCCGACAGCTCTCCCAGCCCAAACTGCGGCTTGCCGCCCTTGCCCAGCACGGCGCCCTCCACGCCACCATTGGGCAGGTGCAGACCCGCGATGCCAGTCTCATCGAAGGCCCCCGGGGCGCCAGGGGGGCCAGGAGGCCCCGGAGGCCCAGGAGGGCCTGTGAGTCCTGGGGAACCTGGGACCCCAGGGGGGCCTGTTGGCCCAGCCACACCAGGCTCCCCCACTTTCCCCTCTCCAGGGGGCCCTGGCAGGCCTGGTTCACCCTTTAGGCCTGGCAGACCCTGTGGCCCGATTGGGCCAGCTGGGCCCTGGAGTCCTGGTATTCCTGAGGGGCCTCTCAGGCCAGGCTGCCCAGGGAGCCCCAAGTCACCCTTCTGTCCCAGGGCTCCTGCCACCCCTGGTCCCCCAGGGCGACCTGTGAAACCCTGTTCGCCCTTGGGCCCAGTCGGTCCAGGAGGTCCATGGGCCCCTGGAAGCCCTCTCTCTCCTGGGAGCCCAGGTTTCCCAGCCAGCCCATTGGGCCCCTGGTCACCCCGAATGCCAGGCAATCCTGGGGGTCCTCCAGGCCCTACCTCCCCCTTAGGCCCAGGGAACCCACGTCTTCCAGGGAGCCCTGCAGACCCTGGAAGTCCAGGGGGCCCCCCAAGGCCTTGTGGGCCCTGTTCCCCTGGTTCCCCATCCTCACCTGGTTCACCCCTGTCCCCCAAGAGCCCTGGGACTCCAGCTTGGCCCTTGTCCCCCTTGGGGCCTGGCAATCCTGGCATCCCATAGCCAGTGGGGCCTATCAGACCAGGGGGACCCCGGGTCCCTGGTTCCCCTTTGGCCCCTGCTGGGCCCTGTGGCCCTGGTACCCCTGCTGACCCTGGAATCCCCATACCATCCATCCCAGGGGGCCCTTTTGGGCCCAATGCCCCTGGCTCCCCCCTGGGTCCTGGCACCCCGGGAGGGCCAGACGCGCCCTTATCTCCAGGGGCCCCAGGAAGCCCATCCAAACCTGGTTTGCCCAAGCCAGCTGGGCCAGGGAGGCCAGGGGGTCCAGGGGCACCCCCCTGCCCTGGGGCCCCAGGCAACCCTGGCTGGCCCACCCCATTATCCCCCTTGAGACCTCGATCACCTGGGGGCCCAGGTTCCCCCTGGGGCCCTGGCTCCCCCCCAAATCCTGGGGGCCCTGGGACCCCCTGAGGGCCTGGTTTCCCAGGAACAGCAATGCCTGAGGGTCCAGGGAGGCCAGGGGGCCCTGGGGGGCCTCGGAGGCCCTGGTCCCCTCGTATCCCTGGCTCCCCCCGAAGCCCTGGCTGTCCTGGTGGCCCAGCCTTGCCCGGGAGCCCTGGGGGACCAGCCTTGCCCATCCGGGAGAAGCCTGGGGGGCCGGCAGGGCCAGGCTGCCCATGTAGCCCCGGCTTCCCAGTGCCTGGTTTGCCTGGGAAGCCAGGAGGACCAGGGGGCCCCCGAGGTCCGGGTTTCCCAGGGGGGCCAGGCTCTCCTTTCAGATCCATCGGCAGCAGCGGTAGAGGCATTTCTGAGAGCGAGAGAGGGAGAAGGCGCAGTCAGGGGCCTGGTCAGTGGGACCCAGGACCCTTCTACCCACTCCCCCCCCCACAGCAGCACGGGGTGCACTGGGAGAAGACAAGGATCTGTATCTGCTCGTGAAGACCACGCCCTGCTCTCCCCTTCCCTGCTCTGACAGAAGATGGAGTTTCGGGGGGTCCATTGGTAACCTTGGGGGCGCCAAGGTTTCCTCACCCAGAGCTCCTAGCATCCAACCTACCCCGGTTGGGAGCCTCTCATTCTTGCATGCCCGGGAGTGGATGGCCGCCAGGTGGCGCCAGCAGCCCTCCGTAGAGCCGGTCAGCGCAGCGTCCCAGCCCACAATCCCCGCCCCTCCCCTACTCCGCTGCAGACCCTCGCTGCCCGCCGGCATCTCCGGGCCCTCGGGGTGGGAGGCCCTGGGCCAGCACCAGAAAGAGAGTGGATGTGGGCTCTTAGGTGGTGATTGACGGGCTGTGACCTGGGGCGGGAGCGGGGCGGGCGTCGGTGCCTCAGAGGAGCCTGGGATGGAGGTCGGGAGGCAGGGAGCTGGGGGATCGCCGCTGTCCGAGGCCCTGTGCAGCGGGTGGGGAGGTACTCACCCAGGTACTGGCCCTTGCCCTCGCGGAAGGGCTTGTCCCGCTGCCCCTCCGGCCCCGCCGCCGGTGGCCCCCGGGGGCCCGCACCCCAGCACCAGCAGGAGCAGCAGAGGCGGCGGCACCGACAGGGGCGTCAGAGCCCACCGCATGGCGTCCTCGAGCGAGCTGCAGGGAGGAACGGAGGGGGACCATCAAGCCAGCCCCTGGGTGGTTTGGCACCAGGCCCAGGGACTCACAAAAAGCTCAGAAGTTAGATATTCTTCACCAGCAATTCTCCAAGTCCCAGAGCCTGCACGAGGCATTTCCTAAACCTCCTTAAGCCAGCCATGGTTCTCCATCCCCACTGACATCTCCGGCCCCCTCCCCTGGACAACAGCCTGCCCCTGCCAGTCACTCTGCAGCCAGACCCCTTCCAGAGCTCTCCAGAGGTGGGAACTCAACCCCCCACTTTAAACAAGGTATTACTCTTGTCATCTGCATTTTCCAGATCGCAAAACTAAAGCGAAGGCCTCCTGCAAGCAGAACTGGGGTTTGCCTTAGATCTGTCTGACTCCACAGGACCGTGGTGCCCATCTGGGCTCCCCCTCCTCAGGATCAAGTCCCTGTGCTTAGTATGGAGTTCAAGGCTTTTCCCCTCCCCAAGATGGGAATTTTTATTGATAAGCCAGGACTGCCTGTTGAATACGTAATATAGTACAATTAACAATAACATAACATTCTAACATTTACACTTTTAACTTTCAGAATCACCCTGATCCATATACAAAGCTTTCGTTTCTGGGAAAATCATGTTTTATTTCAACAGTATTCTTCTCATAGGCAAAACAGTTTCTCAAAATAGGGGGTTTATGACTAACATTTCCTAAAGCTTCCTGTGTGAAATGGACACCAATTCAGCTGCACCTACTAAAAACCCAAACCTTAAAAGGACCTGGTAGAACCACATCCTACTGAATTACCAAAGATCTACATGGACATGAACCCCCTATCACTGACTCAATGCACTGGGCAGAAGGATAATAATTGGTGGCCTACTGTCAACATGAAATGAACTTACATATATATACACATATAATTTCAGAGAGGAAGGGAGTGGGAGAGGGAGCTAGAAACCTCAATGATGAGAATCACTGATTAGCTATCTCCTGCACACCTCAAACTGGGGATGGAGTCCACAACCCTGGGCATGTGCCCTGACTGGGAATTGAACCTGTGACCTCCTGGTTCATAGGTTGATACTCAACCACTGAGCCACATTGGCCAGGCAGACTTAAATAGGTAGCAACATAGCCTATCTAATAAAGATGAAATATGCAAATTGACCATCACTTAGCAACAAAGATGGCAGCGCCCACAGCCAATAAGAAGGGTATATGCAAATTAACATGACAAAGATGGCGGCTCCTGGCACCAGAGCCAAGGCGGGAGGAGGCTCCAGCCCTGGAGCGAAGGCAGGAGGCAGTATCCAGAGTGAAAGCCTGGGTCCTGGGTGCTGGAGGGAAACCGGTGCTGGCAGCCAGAGGAAGGAAGGCCTATTCTTGCATGAATCTTCATGCATGGGGCCTCTAGTCTATATATATAAAATCCTAATATGCAAATAGACCGAACAGCAGAACAAACAACCAGTTGCTATGATTTGTGCTGACCACCAGGGGGCGTGCGCGGAACATTGGGGGTGTCAGCCATGGCGGGATAATGAAGCAGGTGAGCAGGGGCACCAGACCAAGGCGGGGCGCCGGTCACTGTCATGGGGCGAGCCTCTGATGGTTACTGAAAATTCTTTGCTCCCATGTGCCATGGTCCCGCCAGGCACTTGCACCTGCTGCTGGTGCCGGCCCCAATGGCTTCAAGCCGTCAGCAGGTGCGAGCAGGGCCAGTGCTGTCAGCTCATGGAAGTGGTGGTGGCAGGAGCGGAGGGGAGCGGGGCTGCTGAGGGGGATTGGGGGGCGGGGCCACAGTGGGAGGGACCGGGCGGGGTCACGGAGGATGGGCCGAGACCCGCCCCTGTGTCCACCGCAGCCTTGGAGCCCATAGTTCCTTTCAAGGTGCATGAATTTGTGCACTGGGCCCCTAGTATATCAATATCATCCCTACTATAGAGGCACACACAGACCAATGTACAAGTCCTTTAAGGGAGAAACTCAGAAACCATCTAGTTTTCCTGAGTTACAATAATTGAAATGAAAATGACCATATTTATGGAACCATGTAATGTGGCACTGTCTTTCGATGAGGCAGATGAAAATATAACTCACTGGCTAGAAATAGTTTTGAAATAAATCTACTCTCACTGATATATGCTTACTTAAAAATGTGTATTTATGGCTTAGTTTCCTCAAGAAAGTGGGATACAAAGGCCTTACAAACCTAACCTGTGCCTGTGTCTCCAACCCTGTCACCCACTGTGCCTGTCTCTGCTTTTCCCGCCCCAGCCCTCTGCTCTAATAACACAGAACTCCTTGTGGCTCCCAGACACCAGGCAGCCTCACACCTCTAGGCCTTTGCACTTGCTGTTTCTCCGCCTGCAATGTTCTTCCCTCTCCTACTCCTCCTTCAAGGCTGGGGGAAGCTGTCAACCCTTCTTCCATAAAGTCAACCCCTCATTCCTTTATGTCCCGACCTAGCTCTGTCACAGCATTTAGCTCGGCTCCTGGGTGGGGAGAAACAAGGACTCTAGATTGGGACAGCCAGCCTGGTCCTCCTCTCACCAGCTGAGGGAGCTTGGCTAGAGCGTTCCACTCTGTAAACTTGTTTCCTTATCTGTAAAAAGGGATAATGTGTCCACACAAAATGCTGTATGTGAATGTTCATAGCAACATTATTCAGAAATAACACCGATGTGTCTTAACCGATGAATAGACAGTGTGGTACATCCATATGATGGAATATTATGCAGCAATGAAAAGAAATGAAGTACTAATAACATGCTACAATACAAATGAATCTTGAAAACATGCTAATATCAGTCACAAAATCATACTATATAATTTCATTTATATGAAGTGTCCAAAATAGGTAAATCTATAGAGCTAGAAAGTAGATTAGTGGTTGCCTAGGGCAGGGTTGGGGAGTTATGAGGAAAGACTACTAATGGATACATGTTCTAGAATCTATTGTAATGATGGTTGTACAACTCTGTGAATATCCTATATAATAATACCCTAATATGCAAATCGACCAAACAGTGGAACAACCAGTCGCTATGACAAGCACTGACCACCAAGGGGCAGATGCTCAATGCAGGAGCTGCCCCCTGGTGGTCAGTGTGCTCCCACAGGGGGAGTGCCGCTCAGCCAGAAGCTGGGCTCATGGCTGGTGAGCACAGCTGCCGTGGCGGGAGCTTCTCCCACCTCCATGGCAACACTAAGGACCCTGGGGGAAGTGCAGGGAACGGCCTAGGCTGGCAGTCAGACATCCCCCGACAGGTCCTGGACTGCAAGAGGGTGCAGGCCAGGCTGAGGGACCCTTCCCCCCAGTGAGCGGATGTCATGCACCAGGCCTCTAGTGTATATATATAGTTTAATATATTCTTATTGATTTCAGAGAGGAAGGAAGAGGGAGAGAGAGATAGAAACATCAATGATGAGAAAGAATCATCGATTGGCTGCCTCCTGCACGCCCCACACTGGGGATCGAGCTTGCAATCCAGGCATGTGCCCTTGACTGGAATCAAACCTGGGACCCTTCAGTCCGCAGGCCGATGCTCTATCCACTGAACCAAACTGGCTAGGGCATGAATATATTTGTAAAAGTCATTGAATCATATACATTAAGTGGGTCTGTTATATAATACACGAATCATATCCCAATAAAGATGTCTTTAAACAGGCTAACAACCTGCTTCTAGGCTGCTGTGCTGATAGAGATACTGCACAATATTTGAGTGGGGGGCAATATGGCATTTTGCACCCAGAGAAAGTCCCATTTCCCCTCAAATGTCTGCTTGGTGCTCCTCTCACCCCCTCAGGGGCCTCTGGGCACCAATGCCTGGCCTCCAGGGGGCGCAGGGAACGGTTGTGCACACTGGGGTTGCCTGTGGGGAGCAGAACCTCCCTAGTAACTGGGTGCATCTGGGCCTGCAGTCCCATGTTCCCCTAAACCCAGTCTCATACAGAGCTTTGCAGGCATGAATGCAGGACTCTGGAGAAGGTTGGGGGAGCTGCCAACACAGCTCTGGGTTCAAATCCCAGCTCTGCCATCAACCTGTTCTGTAACTTTGGGCAGGTCACACAACCTCCCTGAGCCTCAGCCCGATCGTGATACCACCACTGCCAGGGCGCCCCACGTGCCAGACCCAAGCAGGCTTCATTCAATGGGACCCCCTCAGGGACCCCCACCCCCGGGGCTCATGCATTCAGGTCCTCGCTTCACAGACCCTGAAGCAGAAGCTTAGGCCCATGCCTGGGAAGGTGTGAGAGCTGAGGCCTCACCCAGAGCCGGCCCTCAGCACGGGCCCTGCTCTAACTGCCACGTGACAGACGCCAGCACTCACGAGGCCGACCGTGCAGGCCCGGCCCCCGGGTCCTGCTGATGGAGGCGCTGGCCAGGCACAGCCTCACAGCCTAACATTTTACATCCCTGCGTTCAGCCTGGGACGCATGCTGGCGCCGCTTTGGAGATGAGGAAGACGGTGCAGTCAGGACCTAAACTGGGCAGTTTGAGCCTTGAGCCCCAGCCCCTAACCACCTCACCATCCCAGCTCTCCTGAACAGGAAAAGGGCCTCCTGCACGGGCACCTGAGCTGGGGGCCCAGAGGCGAGCGGGGAGCATGCTCACACTCACAGGGCCAGAATGGTCTGCGTGGTGAGTGGCCAGGGCTGGAGGAGCAGGTAGCGGGGGCAGGGAATGCAGCAGGAAGCAGGGGGAGGGGAGGGAGCCCTCGGGCCTGAGTGGGCCGAAGTCATAGGAGGACTCAGGGCAGCCCTGGCTCTAGGGACAGGAGCCAAGGCCTCGCTGGGAGTGGGGAGCAATGGAGAGGACAAGCCACCTCAGCTCAGCGGGGAGGACAGTGGGGGACACAGGCAGACAT